TCTTTTATATTGCATGTAAATTCTTAATTCTTGTACTTCTTAGAAGTGTTCATTAATGAGGTGCAATGATAATTAGATAGATATGTAAAAGTGGTGAAAGTCTAATAGACGTGGTGAATATCATAGTAAATTTAATTAAAATGAACAATGTCTAAGTCCATTTGAAAAACTTTTTAAAAGTTAAGGCATTTGTTCACAATATACAATTCTTGCTACACCGTAACAAAATGGTGTAGTTGAAAAGTAGAATGATACTCTTATGGATATGGTTATGAACATGTTAAATAATAGCAATGTCCATTTGTCTTTATGGATATTCACTTTAAAATTAATGTGTATATACTTAATAGTGTATAGTAAAGTAGTTCCTAAGACTTCTTATGAATTGTGAACAAGAAAAAAATCTAAGTTAAGATGTTTTCATGTTTAGGGTTATTTAGTAAAAGTAAAGGAATATAATTCACATGAAAAGAAACTCATTGCAAGAACCATTACGGGTTATCATGAGAGGTCAAATAGATACATATTTCATTATCTAATCATAATACAAAAATAGTTGAGTTTGAAAATACTCAATTTAATAAAAATGATTAGTTTAGTGAGAGTGAAGAATTATAAAAGGTGAATATTTGATAAATTTACACATAAACTCTTACACATAATGTTTTTTCTTAATGTGTTGTCCTTCTTGTTGTATTAAAGTTACAAAACATCTTAAGACAACAAGTTAATATGTCAAACTTATAGGATAAACAAATAAAAAATGAACCAACTGATAATTTACAAGTTATTTCAGATGATTACGTGATTTACTCACTTGAACCAAGATGTGATTTAACTATTGGTGAAAATTAAGCTCATTTAAGCAATCTATGGAATGTCATAATTCTGAAAAAGTGGTTTAATCCCATAAAAGAAAAGCTAAAATAAATGGATGACAATAAAAAATGGGACTACATTAAGTTGCTTAAAGGTTCAAAATAACTTGGTTATAAATATGTCTTAAAGACCAACTGAGACTCGAAAGTTAACATATAGACACGAACAAACTTATCGACGATGGTATCTCAAGTTCAAAGATATCATTACATCGTATGATTTTTTTAGAGAATTTTGTCAGTAATGCATCTACATGAAGATTAATGAGTAAGCTTATTAGTTTATTTTTATATGTTGATAATATTCTTTCTGCAACTAATGATGTAGGCTTCCTACATTATGCAAAAAAGTTTCTTTAAAAATTTTGAAATTAAAGATATGAGAGAGATACCCTATATGATAGGAATAAAAATATTTCGTGAGAAATTACAAGGAATGTTTAAGATTGTCTTAAAACGGTTATATCAGCAAAGTGTTGAAAAAAAGTTAGAATGAAAAAGTGCTCATAAAGAATAATTCTAATTTAAAAGGAAGACAAGTTTAGTAACAGACAATATCTTAAAAATGTTTTGGAATGAAAAGAATGAAGATTATTATATATACATCAGTGGTTTGAAATTTAATGTATGCTCGAACATGCAATTAACTAAATATAAGTTTTGTTGTTAGAATATTGAACCGATAGTCAAATAAATCTTGTAATCAATAACTGAAAAGTTACAAATAAAGTTCTTATGTATTTACAAGGCACTAAGAATTACATGCTTACATGTAGAATATGAAATTACCTTGAAGTGATTGATTACATATATTCAGACTATGTTGGATGTATAGACTCAAAGAAATCTACTTTTTATTATATTTTTTCATTGGTTGAAAGAACAATTTCATGGAAGAGTAAAAAAAAGTATATCATTGCTACTTCTAATGTGAAGGCTAAATTTGTGACATGCTTTAAGAAAACTATCAATGCATTGTGGTTACAAAACTTTGTCTTAAAGTTTAGTATTATTGATAGTATAAGAAAACCACTGAGAATTTATTCTAATAATTCTAAGAATGACAAATTTTCAAAAGATGCATAATATACAAAGTTGAAGTAGTTGTCAGTCAAAGAAAAAAAAATACAAAAACATTATTTTTTAAGTCTTATAGTTGATAAAGATAGAAATTACTTTTGTATTATTATTGAGTTGACTCAATGAGTGCTATCCAATCACTAAGAGTATGCTTAGTTCTACATTTTTAAAAATATTTTTGCATTTAATTTTAACACCATAAAGAGTTATGTTCATTTAAAAGTACATACAATCATAATGCACAACCAAACACACTAAAAATGTAAGATGTGAGTCCACCATTCATAAACAAACCTCCTAATTGACATTTAAAAATTAGTAATGACTTTAAATATAGTTGGATAAATTTGTATTTAAAGACTCAATTTTTACAACAAAAGATTTAGGAAGTATAAAACTTCACTTTCTTGTGAAATGCATATTTTTTATAATGTTTCTCTAATTGTCAATTTTTTTTTTGTTTTTATATTTGGTAATATTAATATTAGTTGCTAAGAAAATTGAGAACGTAAATTTGATTTTAGGCTTTAAACCCCTTTATCCATAATTATTTTTTCCAAACACACGTCATTCTTTCTATTCGTGTGCCTTTCTTTTTAAATTTCTTTTAAATACATCTATATAATCACACATGTAATATTTTATTAAAATAAAATGCCTTTTATTTTTTTTAATGATCCTCCAAATTAGACATAACAATTACATAAATTTTTGAAAATTTAATTTTTTTTTAGTCCTCCAATTTAATCTTATTTAATGTAAAATAATAATAAAAATAAATAAATAAATAATTTTTTATAAAGTTTTAAAAATAGAGGGTTTCTAAAATTTTATAAAATAAGATGTTTAATTTATACAATCTTAAAAAGTATTTTAAAAATTTAAACTTAAAACTATAAATAATTACAACTATTATTTTGGAAAAAAAAACAATTACAACCATTTATTAAGAATTTATGATTTATTCTACGTTAAATCAAGCCAAATTATAGATTCTGATTTTTTTAACCGTCCAATAGTTTAAAAAAATAGACTTAGTATTTAAAAAGTCTTTTTACCTAATAAATGAACATATTCAAACAAATACTAATATTATAACAATAATAATTATTATTATGTTAAATATTTACTGCAATATTTTAAATTATAGATTTATTAATTTATTTAAAAACTTAAACTTATAAACATGAAGCGTTATTCTATTGACCTGTTTTATTTTTCATAAAATGTACAAACTTTTTAAAAATATATTTATAACCTTATTTAATAAATTTTATTATAAGATATATTTTTAAGTTATTTTTTAGTTACTAAAATTTCAAAAAATCAAATCAACTTTAAAATTTATATTAAATAATAAAAACATCTTTATTTTGAATTTAAAATATAAGTTAAACTTAAAGAACTTTGTCTACATCAACCTTTACTGATTTTTAATTTTATTCATTTTATTTTTGACTTAATTATTATTTTAATCTCTTTAGGAGATATTTATATACAAAACTTATTTTAATTTTTTCTGCAAAATTTTACTTTTTAGAAATGTTAAAAATATATTTAATATGTTTCAAATATTTTAAAACAATAATATTTTTTATAATGTTTTATTATTGAGTTTAGTGTAAATATTTTTTTTAGAATACTAATATTTTAAAAGTACTTTTTAAATAACATTTCAATATCTAAGATCATTTATAAAATTTATTTATTTTATTTTATTAAATTTATATTTATTAACATTTTAAAAATTAAATTAATGTTTACAATAAAAATAATATAAGACATTTATAATATAAAAAATATGTATATGCATACGTTGCAACTCAAAAGAAAAAATTATTTAACAAAAAATAACTTCATCATCTTATTATTATCGATAATAATAATATTATTAATTGTCAATTATTAAACGAATTAATATAAGCGATACGAATTATAAAATATTAATTTTAATTATTTTTAAAATAACATTTTATTATAATAGCGAGTTAGCAATAGATTGAAATTTAAAAACATCAAGAGATATAATTATATTTTTATATTACAATTCTTTTTCACTTTTATGATAATCTTAAATTTTTATTTATTTTATATAAATAATTTATTTAAAATTTTAATTAAAAAATATTCCTTAAAATGTTTGTTTGTTGAGTTATTTTTAAAGTACTTATACTAATTATATGAATTTAATTTTTCTAACTTAATATTTTTGGGAATTTTAAAAGAACTTCTTTATCAAATATTATTTAATTTAATTAAGCGTAATTTTAATCTTTTAATTTTTTAAATTTAATTAATTAGTTTTTAATTGTGAAAGTTGTATAAATTTATGCTCTTCATTGATTGTATTTTATTTAGAACTTTCAATTTTTTTTCTAAAATATAAGAAGGGCTTTATATTAATTTATTATATAAATAATTTTAAAATAAAAATTGTAAAATTTTAAAATATATAATTTTTTAAATGTAAAATTATAGTTTAAAGATATTGCCTAATTTATTTTTTTATATTTTGACTGAAATTTGACGCTGATAATAAAATGTTTTGAGATAAAACATAAAAATAAATTACTTTAATTGATTAAATTTTAAATAAAAAATAAAGTGATTTAAAAATTTAATAAAAAATGAATTTCATAAACTTAAAAGAAAAAAGTTCATTAATTGAAATAGAACTAAAATATATAATCGCCCTTATCCCAAACTAAAAAACAAAAATCCAATTAAACCTTTATTCTACGTCGATCCGGTTGAGCGATCAGAGTTCACACTTGAGAGAACGCATGCATGGCATTTTGGTAAATTTATTTAGAAAGAGATGCAAAAACGAAGGGTTTTAGCGATATTTACATAATCCGTGACGTGTTTGATAATGGCCAGTCCGATACGCGCTACACCCTTCTCGAAAACAAACACAGAAACCCACAATCTGAGCCATCCATTGGGTCCACGTCAGCGATCCTCGTCGTTGGAAATCCAACGGTTCCGAACAGAACAAGACAAAACGCCTCGAACCACAAAGGCTCAGCCCACCTGAACCCTAGGGCAGACCCAGACCGCGAGCCCGTTTGCTCAGAGAGAGGTTTATCCTCGATTCGCCTCCCCTAACCAGTACACCAAAAAAGAAAGAGAGAGAAAGAGAGATTATAAAATAGAGCTAGAGAGAGAAACCAAATACTCTCTGCATAAAACATCGTGCTTCAATATTTGTATTTGGCTTTCCAATTTTCAATTCAATCAACCATTCAATCCCAATTTCGTTTCACCACCAAAATCTGAGACTATAACACATTAGGGATTCATCACACCACTCTCAGTCTCCCATGCGTTAGGATAACCCAGGTGATAGATATTTCAAGCGTTTGGACCTGTAAGGTGTCGTTTTGTATGAGATATAGGGTTTCGTATTTGATGGATGAGATCTGGGAGAGGGCTGTCGAAACGGCGTTAGACGGCGAGAAGGACCACGCCTCCGCTCGAACCCTAACCCTAGACGGCGCCGTTAAGTGCGTCCAGGGACGGTTACCCCCTCCGAGCCTTCTCGAAAGGTTCCAGAACCTTCAGCACCTGTCGATTGCAAACGTCGGCGTTTCCTCTCTGGAGCAGTTTCCGCGGCTCCGGAATCTTCAGAAGTTGAACCTCTCCGACAACCGTATCGCCGGCGGGCTCGAGTTTTTGGTCCAAGCTGGTCTCGATTCACTTCGAGACCTCGATCTCTCCAACAATCGGATTCAGTACATTGAGGATCTCGCGCCACTCGCGCAGGTGAAGCTGGTTTCGCTGGATCTGTATGAGTGTCCCGTGACGCGCGTTAAGGATTATCGATCTAGGGTTTTCGGGTTGATTAAGTCGCTTAAGTACTTGGATAAGATGGATGCTGAGGAGAACGAGAGGCCCGAGTCTGATGATGAGGAAGAGGAAGATGAGGAGGAGGAAGAGGATGATGATCCTGGGAGTGGAGAGATTGATGGAGAAGAGGATCGACCTTTTGGAATGAACAATGGACACAGTGAAGGTGTTGATGGTGTTGTTGATGCTGACGAGGAAGAAGAGAGTGATGCGGATGAAGAGGAGACGGAGACTTCTAGGCGAAGGGTGAATGGGGATAGTCATCAGGAGAATGGATTTCGTGTTGCTCCAGTAGTGGGGGATGATGTGGAGGAGGAGGATGATGATGATGATTCCGGGGAGGAGATTGATGAGGAGGAGGGTGATGATGATGATGTGGTTGAGGTTCATGAGATTGAAGATAGTGATGATGAGGAGGATGGAGTGGAGTATGATGAGGATGATGATGATGAAGATGATGAGGAGGAGGAAGAAGTGGATAATGATGAGGGGGATCTTGCGGAGCCGGAGAGTACTGGACGGTTGACGAGCACGGAGGGTGAGATTGATGGTCATGAACAGGGGGAGGAGGATGGAGATGATGATGATAATGGGGAGACTGGTGAGGATGAGATGGGGGTAGAAGATGATGGAGAGTTTGAAGATGATGATGAAGTGAGATAACCCCTTCTGATTTCCCTGTTTTTATTGTTGCATGCATGGTTGTTTACTCGTGCTTGTTTAGTTTTTTTGTCTTCCTGTGTTTTCCATGTTATTTTGTTAATTGCTTATGGTTTGTATGTTGTTTTGATATCTTCAGATTGTCGAAGAGAAGATGGTTTTGATTGCTTTTGATTTTTGTAAATTTCTGTTGCCTGATGCTTGCTTGAACTTTAGTTATATTCGTGTGATTTCTCTGCATTTTGTGGTTTTTTTTTTCTCTGTGTGGTATTTGGACCAACTTGTGTCTTGCCTGTTTTGTACTTGCCAAAGTAGACTTTAATTTCCTTACCATTTATGCATGGCTTAGCTGGTGATATTTTTATTTTCTACACTCATTACTAATTGCTAGCGACTTTGAATATGCTAATTCGGATATTTGTCACTGCCTTGACTGACGAACAGTATGCACTATTATTGTGTGCTTTGGATATCCTATAATCATTTTGTATGTAAATGAAAATGACTTTTGTGGGTATTATTTGTCTATTTGCCTATTTCTCATCCAACCTTCCTAAATGAAGTGTTTCCTTGTTGCTATGTTGATTCCTTGTTTTATTTACCATTCATTTTTGGTGTGGACGAGCTGGTTTTTATGAAACTTGGACATTTTAGTTCCTTTTCTCCTTGTGATAATTACCAAATGCAGGAATTGAGATGAAGGGAATTTCTCTGTTGATATGGGAAACAGCGTAGCAGTCTAAATTGCAATTGTAGTTTTGAATGTGTATAACCTTGCTTGCTATTTTGATTTCTTTGTAAATCCCTTGTATTTTACTCTGAAATTCCTTTTTTTTAAATGTTGGAAATTCCTTCTAATTCTTTTCATTAACATGATTGGTAACCGTGATTTGGTCAAATTTTTAATACTTCAGGATTATGTTCATCTTTTAAGCCCATTTTCCTTTGTTATTAGGCATAAGATTACTTGTTTTGCCTATTGGCATATAATCAGGGTACCTGTTATTGTAATATGTTGCTGACCTCATTAAATTGTAGTTTAGGGTTAGGATTATGATGTGCTGAGTTGGAGACATGTATTATTTGCTTAATTGGCCTATTCTGGGGTTATATTGTTTCCGGTTGTTGTTATCTACTCTAGTTCTATTTTTGTTGTCAACTTATAGGATATATCGTAATGGTCTGGGAATTTGTTTGGACCTGTTTGTGGATACTCTTGGTGGAATTACTGAGTGAAAATCTTTATTTCTTCTGTTTTTTCCCTATTTCAGTACTTTTTTGGTCTTCATATGTGATAAAACATGTGGGTTCTTTTGAAAATTTGTAATGAAGGGTTGTAAATTTTTAACATGTACATGTGCCCTGAGACAAAAAGATGCTTTACCAGCACTCGAGCAATTACCGATGTTCATTTGGTTACATATATTATTTTATGTACAATATACATTTAGTTACATTTCATGAAATTTTCCTTTGACTATTTGCGTCTTCCTTTTCTTCGTTCTTGATTTGAGTTCATCTCATTTTTTAATCGAACTATGGTATTTTTGCTGTAATCGCAGGAAGAAGAAGACTATGGTGCTGGATATCTTGTTCAGCCTGTTGGGCAGTCTGATGCTCTCAATGCTGGAGGTGCTGATGTTGATGGTGGGAATGATGATGGTGAAGAGGAGGAGGAAGTTGATGATGATGATGATGATGATGTTCAGGTGTTGCCTCCTGACTCTTCACACCGCAAGAGGAAGAGGGATGACGATGATGATGAAGACGAAGAAGACAATGAAGATGACGACGATGTTGTAGCTTTCACAAAGTCACCCAAGAAGCATCATTGACGCACCATTCTAATATCTCGTGTTCTTGTTCTGTTGATGGCTTCCAAGTATTGGAAGCAGGGACACCTCAGTTTAGATAGAACGATGGTTAGCTTTTAGGAATATTTAGCTCTCATGGACAGAGGACATATTAATGAAAAAAAAATTGTATGATGGGTGGAAATATGTTTAGTTCAAAAAGTCGTTAGTGTTTTTTCCCTCTTGCCTTTCACATAGCCGTTACTCTCTTAAATATTCAAATGGCAGTTATCAGAGGTTTACCGCTCTTGTGCTCGATGCAGTTGTTGTTGGCTTGTAAAGGAACTGGCCTGTGCCTAGAGGGAAAGGGTGGGAACCTTTTAATTTTTTCTTTTTTCAAATCTCTAGTTTATTGGAGCACTTTTTTGGTGGGAGAAAAAGGAGAAGCTTGTAAAAACACCTGTAGATAGTTCTTATGAAAATGATTCCGATCAATCAAATTTGGTACCTGTTGTGTAATGACGTGTCTATTTCATAAATTATTGCCTTTGTTACGTGGAATTATTCCAGTTTCTGCCTTAAATTTATTGATCTTGATAACAGTGGGGAAATCTTGGTCCCGTTGTATTAGTCAACTGCCAGGTATGCCAATGGGGCCCCCGATTTATGCGTGCAATTGTTTTATCTAACAAATTGACCGAATTTTGATGTTTTTATCTCCCCAATAAGTATACGAACTCTACCCTTGTGCAACGTGCACAATGCATCCTAATTTCACGATTTGCCACGTGTTCCTCATGTTGAATTGGGCGGTCAGATCAGCATTATGTTCATGTCATCATCCATTTTTTTATCTTCTCTTTGGAACCAAGCCAATTAACTGCCATTCTTACTTGGGCAATCCTAAAATTTCGGGCGAGCCACACGCAACGTACTCGTGAGTGTCCCATTTTTTTTTGGTCATTGCTCATTGGGCGCGTCATAAACGACTGGCCGTGCTGCTAGTGGTCAATGAAATTTGATCCACTAAGATATCTTTTTAGCTAAATTATCTCACCTTTAGACATTTATTTTTTAAGTTCTAGTGATTAGTTTTATAAGATCTTTTATATTTTTATGTAATATATGTTTATTTATTTTTAATAAATAGAGTTTGGTTTAATAATATTACTTTTACACGTGTAATATAGTTAAATATTTCTTTTAAAAAGATTAAAAGAAATATAATTTAAGTAAAATTACACTTTTTGTCCTTTAACTTTAGAGTGAAATTTATTTTCGTTCTCTAACTTTTTTTTATTCATTTTCTTCTCGAAGTATTATTTTTTCCTAGTTTATTTCTCTTCGTTAACTCTGTTACATAACCTAACAGAAACGTTTTACGTGGCGTTGAGATGACATTAACGACGTTTATTTAACCCAGCATAGGTTTTTTAATTTAAAAAATAATTAAAAATAGTGAAGTGACACTGAATTGTAACTTCTCATCTCTTTCCTCTTCCAGCAACCCCTTTCTCTTTCCTGTAGTCTCCCTCCCCTTCCACAATCTCTCTTTCTCTTCCTCGCAACTTCCTCTTTCCCTCGCAACTTCTCTTCTCCCTCCCTGCAGCCCCTCTCCCTTCTCCTTCCTTTTCTCCCTGTTCCATCATTCCTTTCCCCTCAACCCAGGAGCTCTATCTTCCTTGCAGCCTTGTCTCCTCCTTTCTGTAGTCCCTCTCCCTTTCTCCCTCCGCAGCTCCCCCACCCTTTTTCTCAATCCATCAACATTATCTCCTCCTTTCCACAGTCCCCCTCCCCTCCCCTTCCTGCTCTGCAATTTCCTCCACCCCTTCCCACAACCCACCAACCTTGTCTCTTCCTTCCTGCGGCCCCTTTCCCCTCCCCTTCTTTACTGCCAATACTGTTTACGGCAAAAAAATATACTCATTTTATACCTGTAGCCTTGTCTCCCTCCTTTCCTCCAACTAAATGGAAAATTACCTCCAAAATTTTATTCCAAACATCCATTGAATTACTTAGTTTATAGAATAAATAAGCAAAGTACCAACTCATGCCAAATTATTAATTATAAATTTGATTTAAAAAATACATCTATTATGCTTCCTCTCTCTCCGAGTTTAAAACTGTAACTTTTTACGCTATTGCTTATTGGGTTATTTTATATTTATATCAAACTTCAAATTTCATTACTTTCTATGTATAATTCTTTAAATTTTTGTGAAATATGAATCTCTTATTATTTTGTTGTTTATTTGTGTTACTGATAATGCTTCACTTACGGGAAGACAAAACGGAGACTGCGGGAGGGGGAAACAAGGTTGGTGGGTTAGAAGGAAGAGATGGCGAAGCTGCAAGAAAGGAGAGAAATAGCTACAAGGAAAAATAAAAGTTGCGGGAGGGAGAAATAAAGTTGGTGGCTTGGGGAGAAAAGGTGTCAGAGCTGTAAGAAAGAAGTGAGAAAGCTGTGAGAAGGGAAAAATGGACTGTAAGAGAAGGAGGTTGGGCTGGTGGGTCAGGGATTTGGGAGGAAAGAGATTGGGGAGCTGCGGGAAGATGAAGAAGGAGAGAGACTTACATTTTTAATTATTTTTAAATAAAAAAGTTCACATATGATTAAACAAATAGTGTTAAGGCACTTCAGTGCCACATAGGACAGTTTTGTTAGGTTATATAACAGAGTTAATGGAGAGGACTAACGTGAAGAAAAAAAAAACTGAGGACGAAAATGAATAAAAAAAAGTTAGAGGACGAAAGTGAATTTTACCTTAAAATTAAGGGACGAAAAGTGTAATTTTGTCTATAATTTATCTTTAAAAATTAATTTAACTTTCAATTTTATCTTAATATTTTTCTTTAATTTATTGTTCTAAATTTAATTTAAATTTTATTATAAGCTTTTAGTTTATTTTCAATTTAATTTAATTTAATTTATTCTTCAAAATTTGGTTAAATCAAATTAAAGAAAAGAGTATGATTAAACTACAACTTAATTTGAACTTAGAGGACTAAATTAAAAAATAAATTAGATAATTAAATTAAAAATTAAATTAAAGTAAATGACAAAAAAAATAAAATTAGCTAACTTTTTTTTTTAATAACAATGAACTTTGTATACTTTTTATATAATGACTAAACTCTTATTTAGTCCTTTAAATTGCAAGTATTGATTACTTTAATTCATAACTTTAAAATTTTTAGGTTAATACTTGAGTTTACAAAATATTATTTTTGTAATTATTGATACAAAATAACAATGTAAACTAAAATTAAAAAAAGTGGTATAAATATTTTTACAAAATTAAAGACTAAAGTGAAGATTTTATAAAGTTAAAGATTAAAGTGAATGGCGCTTAAAATTTAAAGGATTAACATTAAAGTTTGTTTTATTTTTTGTTAAACAATAAAATTTAAGATTTTGTTAATTTTAAGTCTTTAAGATTTATTGTATTTTTATAATTTCAATATAATAACTTTGTACTCTTTTCATAAATTTTTTTTATTTGTAGATGTTTGAACTCAGCCCTAAAAGCTGAGTGAACAAAATCCTAAAATTTAATTAAAAACTTAGAAACAATTTTTTAAGGTGTTTTTAGTGTTTTTTTTTAAATTTAATTTTTTTCATCTTGATAATCAAAGACAACAGTAAATGCTCACCTTTTACTAAAGTAATGTTCTAATTTGAATTGAAAAATAATACCAAAAATATTTACAAATCTAGGTCTAAGTTTTGTCTTTGATTTAATCATTACAAACTCATGCAAACTCATGCAGTTGGTTATTTTGATTTAGAAACTTGTTAGAAACGATGTTTGAATAATGTCCTCGATTATAAAGGTGTTATAATCGATTAAATTGACAAAAAAAAAATGCAACGCTTTTAAATATCTATTTGTTATGATCTTTATGTAATATGTTACAATCAAATCAAATTATGATTTCTCATATTTTTAAAACCTAGCCATTTTTTTTGAAAAAATTTCAAATCAAACCAATATAATTTAAAACCTTTTTCATGTAATTTTCTTTTCAAAATTATTTTTAATTCATAAGACTAACTTCTTCAATTGATTAACTCTATTTAGTTTAGAAGTTAATCTTTTATATTGAATTCATTTTTAGTCTTTTGAGCATATTTTGTTAAGTTTTTGTTAGTTATATTACTTAACTAAACATGAAAAATCAAAATAAGTTTTAATCTTTGTTCCTTGCTTGATCTTGAAGTGATTGATTTCGTTAGAATTTTATTTGTTGATATTTGTTCAAATAATCTTTTATAAATTTTGGTTTTTTAAGTTTTAATTTATTACAAATTTTCTAGTGTAAATAGGTTAATTTATTGAGTTAAAAGTGTCTTGTTGACTCAAAGAAAACTTCAATAATCTTACTGTATTTGTTAGATTCTATTTCTTTCTTTTGATTGCACAACTTATTTTTCTTTGTTTCCTTGTTGTTGTAGACATTTTTTCTTATTTTATTCTAAGTGAGTTAAATAGTGATTATTGTTGAGTTGTAATGAACCAAATAAGCATTTAGCAAGGATTAAACTTACAATTCTGACAATTATTTGTCACTGTTAATCTATTTTCTAAAGTTAATAGCTTTGTCTTTTTAAAAGAGAATAGCCTACCAACATAACAATCGGAAAAGAAATTAAAAGAAATATATATCATGGATTAAACTACACAAGTTATGAAATCTTAAAAGAACAAGAAGACAAACATCACAAAAGACAAAATATTGCAAAAAATTATAAAAATTCTAGATTTTAAATATTTATCAATCCTTTATGTTGTACACTGTTCAAATATTTTAAGTTTTAAAAGTATAATTTTTTACTTGACACCATGATAATGGATTATCATAGGTAATATTAATTTATATGTTAGAGGGAAAGAGAAAAGACCAATACATTTTTTATTCTTAAAAACACTCACACAAAATAGGAAAAGTTAAAATAAAATATCTAGACATCTAACTTAATACTTAATTTATCCACTTCACTTACATTTTTTTAGAATTGGAACAAAATTAAAATAGTAAAACTCTAAAACTTTGGTGGTTGTCATCAAATTTAACTTCCATTTGTATTTAGTAGTTCACATATTCTTTTTATGAGTAATTACCGTAAAAATTTCTATAGTATATACATTGCTTTCATGCAGTAGTTTTTCATAACATGATATAATATCCTTCCTAACAGTAGAATAAATCCTTAAATTCTGAAATAATGAGAGAAGACAAACAAATTAAATTAAATAATAAAAAAAATTTATACACTTTGACTAAAGAAATTTAATAATTTTACCTTTTCATCGACATAAATAATGTCCATAGTATTGAATTGATTTTTATTTTTAAACTCAGGAGAAAATCACAAACAAATGATTCGAACCGTTATCCTCCAATCCACCTTCACAAGTCGAAAGTATTGAAATTGGAGGTGCCATTCTAGAGAAATATTATTTTGAACAAACAACCTATATTTTCCCTTATATATATATATTAAATAAAATACAAATTTTTTCTTTATTAAATGTTTTATGTATGTCCATATAACTCTCATGTACCATTTAATTGTATTTACAATATTAAAATCAT